TTGTCATGTACTTTAGCTTTTTCTAGTTACGTTTTTTCTTTTACCTTGTATGTGAAAAGTGTGCTGCTTTTATTTTTATTAAAAACAAAAAGCCCCTCCTCATTTGCAGAAAATGTTATGCAGTTATCCCCTAGCAAATGGAACTACCACTGCTCAAATTAAAACCCAGCATTCATGAAGTATTACTCTCCAGATCAGTTCTTTGCTGAAACTGAGCTCAGTGGGATTTCTGTGAACTTGAAAATTAATAAATAGGCATATTAGTTGTAAAATACAAGGAATAATTTCCTGTCTTTGCCAGATGATCCATTTGGATTAGTGCCTATAAAAGTTCGACTACAGCTGTCTTTACAGAATTTTTAAATAATAAAACCATAACCCTTCTCCCAAGGAGTTTATTAAACTCTCCTTTGATTAATGCTATTTCCCACCCCTCCTGGGAAGTCAGATGTATAATCAATATTACAAGCACATCCTTCCATATTACTGGGAGAACACCAGCTGCTAAGTCACTTAATACAAATGTTTCATCTGAATTCATGAACATAGTAATGCTGTTCAAAATTTTTAATCTAACGGAAACTATAATCTATCAATCAGCCTGTCCACTTCATATCCCAAAATTGGAGTTAAGAAGTTGTCTATGGTCTAATTAATATCATGATAAGTAAAATAAAAAAGAGAGATCCTTTTAAGTCTTTGAGTCTATTAGATGTACACTAATACAATCCCAGAAATAAGTCCCTAAACAAATTACATGAGTGTGATGGGCAGCAGTGACAGTGGTAAGAAATATCCTGTGATTTAGAGATCAGGAAAGTTATAGAGATGCCTGAATATGACAGGATCTATGGGGAGCAATGCAGCTGTAGTTCAATATGATTTTTAAACATCCATGAAATATGAATAAAGGTAGTTAAGAATAAGCCTGTACCAGGGTTAAATGGATGATGATGGGGGTCTAGGTAGTTTCTAACAAGACATGGAAGTAGAGAGCCCAAGTGGGGAGCTCACCATCAGTATTCTTGAGAGTAGTTAGATATGGAGGGAAAAGGGAAAGAAACAGCAATGGCAATGGAAAAAGCTCCAGGTGTGTATAACACAGACATTGGCACAGAAGCAGAATAGGATGGTAGTTAGTACTGAACTCCCTGAGTTCAAATCCTCTCTCCACCATTTAGCAACTGTGTGCCTTGGCCAAGATGCTTAACCTCTTTGTCCCTCAATTTCCTCATGTGAAAAATAGCAATGTTGATAGTAAGGTTGTTGGGGAGATTAATTACTGCGTGTAAAGAATTAAGAACAGTGTTTAGCACATAGCAAACCCTCAATAAATAATAATTATTCTTATTAACTTGGGTTCTTCCTTCATCTATGTTGTTTTTTTCCCCTTTGTTTTTAATCTTCTTCAACCCATTCCTCTGTCAGTTATTTGGAGATGACTGTGCAGCAAGAGAATGAGCTACATATGTTTCCTGTAAAACCTCTTTGGTACCTCAAAGCTGACTCTAAGAGAGGGAGAAAGAGGCAGTTGCTTCCTTGATGCCAACTTAAATACAGCAGAGGAAAGAGCACTTGAGATCTGAATTCTAGTTGGGGCCCTTTAGAGACCAGAAGCAGAATTTGAATAAATAAACTTTTGTACATGTCACTTTTCTTATCTTCAAAATGAGGGCATAGAATCAAAACACAGGTCCATAAGTCAAAAGCCTATAGAGTTCAGATTAAAACAAAAAAGAAAAAACACTGCCATCAAGCTGATTCCAACTCATGGTGACCCTACAGGACAGAGTAGAACTGCCCCATAGGGTTTCTAAGGAGCAGCCGGTGGATTCAAACTGCTGACCTTTTGATTAGAATCTGAGCTCTTAACCACTATGCCACCAGGGCTCCAGGTTCAGATAAGAAACATAAATAAGTGAAGCAATTCCAGTATGAGACAATAGAGAGTGGTAGGGACTTTGGCAAGCTGAAAGCATATTCTCTGACTAATGGAGTAAATTGCTGTTCATCATCTGCCTGCCAATTTACATTCAGGAATTCAGGTTTGGTATCTTCCATATTTTTTCAAGAAAAGACAAGAATTCCTATATTTTTGTGAAATACTGGAATTTTAAATGTTGGCCTAAATTATGTTAACATATTATGTAGGCAAACAAAATATGACTGAAAAGTAGATATTTTCCACTGGCAATTCATTTGTGACCCTTGATCCAAGTAATTTTCTAAAATTCCTTTTAGTTATGACCTTTCCATTGTTCACTTACACTGAGATGTCCAAACAGAACAGCTAATTCCGGTCCAAACCACACATTATTTCATCCAGTAGGTTGTTCTTGCCTGAAGACAAAATTTTTGATCTACATGAAAATGTTCAGTAGGGTATAAACAGTACCTACTTAAACTTCTAGAAGTAAACTGACTAAGGTCACTTTTTTACATGCTGACATTTCTAATTCAGGTCATCATGGGTCTAGTCTACTTCTGATTCCATTTACATCTAGAAGGTGAAACCAATAAAAAATGACTCTTCATTTCTTGTTTGATTCACTCACCGTCATTCAACAAGATGTGACTATAACATGCAGCCCCCAAGAATGCAACTGGGAAACGTCAGCTTGGGTCTCCCCTTGATTTAAAATCCTCAGAACTTTTAAACTGACCTTAGGGTGTTTGTTTGGGAAGTAGAGTTCTGAAATTTTTCAGTTAACTTCTTTTTTAGCTTTCTTGTTTCTTTCTATTTGAGAAGTATTTAAGCTTGTGTAGTGCTAGTGAAGCTGATAAGTAATTCTTGTATCTAGAGTTAAGAGAGGTATAAAGGCTGCCACCCAACTGCATATTTTGTGTTTGTGAAATTAGTTTCTCCCTGCCATCTTCTTTGACAAAGACATAATTGCTTCAATACTATAAAAGCTGAAAGGAAGTATTTGGCACACAAATCTCTGCAATGCATTCATTTGAAAGATAAGCAAAACTGCTACCAAGCAGGAAATGATATCCAAAGTGTGGCTCACTTTGAAATAAATCACATCCTGAATCCTGGAGATCAGGTTGTACACACCTCAAGAACACATGCATTTCCTGTCGTTTACTTGCAAAATCAAGAATCTTAACTCCTACTAAGTAGTAATGGAAAAAAAAATACATTATTGCAAGTCTCCTAAACAGAAGTGTAGAATGAAATAAAAGTAGAAACTTTTCCCCAAATGTATCTTTTTAATTGGATAAATTCACAAATAATAGGGAGCTGGAAAGTGGGATGAGGGACACCACTGAGCAAAGTGATAAAAGATATTCAAAAGGTGGCAGAATGAGAAATTACGATTTATACCACGACGAGAATTAATCTCAGCTTCTGTGTCAAGGTTAATGTGAGTTTGTCAAAGCACTTTGAGTTGATACAATTATAGCATGTGATTGTAATAAAGGCTTTACCAAAAGAAAACCATTGCTCGGTACAAACATGTACCTTTGAAAAAGTCTTTTATTGGCTTTTTTAATAGTAACAGGAATATACGAGTTTGACAGATATTTTTCTATTAATAATATACAACAGGCTTTCCAGATAGTTATGTGACCACTTTTCATTAGAAAAGGAAAGATCTCAGAAAATAGTTACAAGTCCTTCAATGTCTATAGTCAATTCTTTAGGGCGAAAAGAAAATCATATTTAGAACTCCGTTACCACCACATGGTTCTTTGAATCTAAAAACATTTTCAACAGGTTAGACTGAACTCTTACCGGTGATATGGGGTTTGTATCAAAGTCCCTAAATTTTTATAGGAATTTTTGTTTTTCGTTTTTTAATTGAGTTTGTACAGAAGTGTTTGAACTATTGTATGGCTTTTATTCTACCATTTCATGTAATGTGTGTTTGTAACACAGTATTTATGATTCAGCAATGTCAGAGCTAGAAATATTTTGTTCCTCTTGTAGAGTGCAACCTAAAATAAAGTGCACCTCCTGATGCATGCCAGTCAGACATTGTGTATTTCATTGAAAAAACATTAAGAAATGTCACTGAGTGTAAAAATAGATGAAAAAGTAGTTTTGCGCAACAGCACTGAGAACTTCTGGGACTTTCCCTTTCAACCTGTGCATGTCTTAAAAGTCAATGCATACCTTTTAAATATCATGATTCACCACATATTTTTTATATAATCATGGAACAGAGTTTTGAACCTGGAACAACAAAAAAGTCTAATAAAATTTAGACTGTTTTCTTTGTACCTTCACAGGGTAAAAAATACAATAAAAATAACAACAATAAGTGATATTTTCTGAATGATTTAAGTGCAAAGCACAGTGTTAAACTTTTATATGTATTATTCTATTAAAGTGGTGGTGCAGTGGTTAAGAGCTCAGCTGCCAATCAAAAGGTTGGCAGTTGGAATGTACCAGCCACTCCTTGGAAACCCTATGGGACAGTTCTACTCTGTCCTATAGGGTCACTATGAGTCAGAATTAACTTGACAACAATGGATACAGTTTTTGGTTTCATTCCATTAATACTAACTTTAAAAATCTGTTCAGTAAATACTCTTATTATCCTGATATTACAGACAAGAGAAGTGGAGCTTATAGAAAGGTAAAGCAACTTGCCCAAGTATAAATAAATAAATATATTATTAAAAAGCAAAAAAGAAAAGACTGACCTAGATTCCATAGCCTATTCTTTTGTTCATTATGCTAGATTGACAGTAACATCAGACAATTTAACTTCTCCAGAAATGTCCTAGCTAATCCAAGAATAAAGATCTTTCTTGTTTGCCTTGGTAAATTTGCCTATGTCGTTGATAAGGTATTGATGAGACTTAATGCAAGTATAGAAATAAAAAAATGTCATCTTTTTATCTTGTTGTGTTTGTCATAACCACCACGGCACTTTATTGCAAACATAAGGTAGAAGGAAGTTAGCATCTTACAGATTCAGTTGCAATGCTTTGGTCAACCTAACTTCCTACAGTCAAGGTTTATTATCCCATTTTTCTTCATACAGAGCCCAGTGCTGCTCCCACAGATGTCAAGGCTACAAGTATGTCTGTGTCAGAGATTCTTGTTGCATGGAAACATATTGAAGAGAGTTTAGGAAGACCACAGGGATTTGAGGTATGAATAGAATTCTTAAAAATAAGCCTTATTATTTCTGCTGGCACTGCATTCTCCTACAAAGATGATTTGGTGACATTTCAACTGAACTATACTCCTTTGAAATTTTGCTTATATTAAAGAAAGTATGAAATGCACTTTTCTACTGACATGTATTATGTAGCTCATTAGCTGGCTTATTTTTCAGTATAGCAGTTTCCATAGCATCATTCAAATGCACCTGCTCCTCACTTATTGACATGGTTTGGTTTCAAAGACCAGGTCATTATGCAAAAATCAGCATTATGGGAAAATGGAGGATGATCACATCCGATCACAAAATATTATGTGGGACACATATGTCCCTCTGTACCCGAAAGGCGAAACATGTCGGCGAGCACTCTGTGTCCCACTGGTCATGAAAGTATTGCTGTCAGACATATATTATTAATGCGCAAAATAGTCGGATAGTAGATTTTTTTTACTATTGTCATAAAAGCGAAATGTCAGATAACAAGAAGGTTGATAAGTGAGAAGTAGGTGTATATACACGAAAGGAAAAATAGACTTTTAGCTAAAATCTGGAGCCACAGGTGGATATTTTCTGGTGTCCAATTTATTGGTGGTTAAAAATGTTTTTGTTTCTTTGTTTCCAATGATTTAATGCATAAAAATAAAATTTTCCTTTCATACTTGCTTAGCAGGTCTGACTGACCTCCATAACTGAATTCTCCAAATATGTTCTGAACTTAGTGATCTGTCTGTATTTTGTAGAACTCAAATGACTTTTTGTCTCTTAAATTTTGCTATTTTTAACACAGTCATGCCAGCCTTATAAGTGTGAATATTTTGTATGAATTTAATTATTTCAATGATATTTTAGGCTCCACATGGACTAGAGGATTGTGGATGGTCTGTGAACTTGCATATTACGTGTTAGCAAGATCCCTGCTTCTCATACAGTTCTTGTTCTTGTCTTGCTTGGCCAGTCTGGAAATAAACAAATTCATCCATGGTTAATTGTATTTGACAAAGGTACCAAGACCATTCAATGGAAAAAGAAAAGTCTTTTCAACAAATGGTTCTGAGACCACTGGCTATCCAATTAAAAACAAAATAAAAAAATAAAAAAATGAATTTGGATACCTATATCACACCAAAAATAAAAATTAACTAAAATGAATCAAAGACCTAAATACAAGTGCTAAACCTATAAAAAACCCTCAGAAGGTCACACAGGTATAAATCTGCATGACTTTGTACTAGGCAATGCATGGTTTCTGAAATATGACACCAAAAGGCACAAGCAACCAAAGAAGACATAGATAAATTTTATCAAAAGTAAAAACTCTGTGTATCGAAAGACACTATCATTGAAAGCAGGAATACAAACAGATACATGCACACCAATTGTTCATTGCAGCAGTATTCGCAATAGCCAAAAGATGGAAACAACCCAAAGGTACAACATTTGTCAACAGATGAATGGATCAACAAAATGTGGCTGTTGTTGTTTTTGTTAGTTGCCATCAAGTCGGCTCCAACTCATGACGACCTTATATATAACAGAACAGTGCTATGCCATCTTCGTGATCCTTGGCATGTTTGAGTCTATTGCTGTGACTGTTATGTCAGTGCATCTCATTGAGTGTTTCTCTTGTTTTCACTGACCCTCTGCTTTACGGAATATGATATCCTCTTCTGGAGATTGGTCTTTCCTGATGATGTGTCCAAAATAAGTGAGCCAAAGCCTCACCATCCTAACTTCTAAGGAATGTTCTGGTTGTATTTTTTCTAAGGCTGATTTGTTCTTTCTTCTGAAAGTCCACAGTATATTCAATAGCCTTTGCCAACACCTCAGTTTGAATGCATCAATTCTTCTGCCTTCCTTTTTCATTTTCCAGCTATTGCATGCATATGAGGAGATTGAAAAGACCATGGCTTGGATCAGGTGCACCTTAGTCATCAAAATGACATCTTTACTTTTTAAAACTTTAAAGAGGTCCTTTGCAGCAGATATTCCACTTGCAGCACGTCCTCTGATTTCTTGACTTTTGCTTCCTTGGATGTTGATTGTTGATCCAAGTAGAATGAAATCATTGACAAAGTGTTTTTTATTTATTTATCATGATGTTGCGTATCAGTCCAGTTATGAAAATTTTTGTTTTCTTCACATTCATGTGTAATCCGTATTGAAGGCTGTAGTGTTTGACCTTCAAAGATTACTCACCTGTAAGTTTTTCATACTGTAGTTACCATGATGCTAGAAGCTATAGCACTTGTATTTCAAATACCAGCATAGTCCTCCATGATGGACAGGTTTCAGCAGAGCTTCCAGACTAAACTAAGATAGACTAGGAAGAAAGGCCTGGTGATCTATTTCCAAAAAGCGGCCAATGAAAATGATAGACTATTACTGTACCATAAAGAGAAATGAAGTCCTGATACACGCTACAACATGGATGAACCTTGAAAACATTATACTGAATGAAATAAGTCAGGCACAAAAGAACAGATATTTTATGATCCCACTTATATGAAATATCTAGAACAGATACATGTATAAAGATCAAAGCTTATTAGTGGTTATCAGAGGTGAGAGGGAGAGGGAAAGAGGAATTCACTGATTAGGAGGCACTGAACTTCTGTTAACAGTGATGGAAAAAAATGGAAACGGATAGTGGCGATAGTAATACAACATGATGAATGTAAGTAATGTCACTGAATTGAACATGTAAAAATGTTGAAATGGTAAACGTTTTGTTATGTATATACCTTGTTGTTGTTACCAGGTGCCATTGAGTTGATTCCAAATCATAGCAAGCCCATGTGACAGAGTAGAACTGCCGCATAGGATTTGCTTGGCCGTATTCTTTACAGAAGCAGGTCACCAGATGTCTTAGTCATCTAGTGCTGCTCTAACAGAAATACCACAAGTGGATGGCTTTAACAAACAGTTTATTCTCTCATAGTCCAGTAGGCTACGAGTCCAAATTCAGGGCATCAACTCCAGGGGAATGCTTTCTCCATTGACTCTGGAGGAAGGTCCATGTCATCAGTCTTCTCTTGGTCTGGGAGCTTCTCTGTGCAGGAACCTCAGGTCCAAAGGACGCGCTCTGCTCCCGACACTGCTTTCTTGGTAGTATGAGGTTCCCATGTGTCTCTGCTCGCTTCTCTTTTTTATATCTCAAAAGAGATTGGATTAAGACACTATCTAATCTTGTAAACCTCATCAGCATAACCTCATCACAGTGACAGAATTTACAACACATAAGGAGAAAACATATAACCTTATCATAGCAATAGAGTTTACAACACATAAGGAAATCGCATCAGATTACACAATCATACAATACTGGGAATCATGACCTAGCCAAGTTGCTACACACATTTTTTGGGGACACAATTCAATCCATGACACCAGATCTTTCTCTGGTGAAGCCACTGGGTAGGTTAAATGCCAACCTTTTGGTTAGTAGCCGAGAGCTTAACCATTTGCACAAGCAAGGCTCTTTAAGACACACGAAAAAAGTAATCGATAGGCAATTAAAAAACAACAACACTATCAAGAAAGTGAAAAGATAACCCATAGAATGGGAGAAAATATTTCCAAATCATATATCTGATAAGGGCCTAGTACGTAGAATATGTAAAGAACTCTTATAAGTCAACAGTCAAAAGGAAAATAAGCCAGTTGAAAAATTGGCAGAGGATTTGAATAGACATTTCTCTGAAGTAGACATGCAAATAGCCAATAAGCACGTGAAAAGATGATCAACATCATTAGCCCTCAGGGAAATACAAATCAAACCCACAATGAAATATCACTTCACACCCACTAGGATGGCTATAGTTAACAAAAAAAAAAGGAAAATAATAAGTGTTGGAGAGGATGGGGAGAAATAGGAACACTTATGCATTGCTGATGGGAATATAAATCGGTACAGCCACTTTGAAAAACAGTTTGTCAGTTCCCCAAAAGGTTAAACATAGAATTAACATATGACCCAGCAATTCCCTACTAGGTATATATCCAAGAGAACTGAAAGCCTATGTTCATGCAAAAACTTGTGCATGCATGTTCATACCAAGATTATTCATAATAAGCATAAAGTAGAAATGACCCAAATATTTATCAAGTAATGAATGGAAAAACAAAATGTGGTATATTCATACAATAAATATTATTCAGCCATAAAAAAGAAATGAAGTACTGTTATATGCTACAGCATGGATGAACCTTGAAAACATTGGGCTAAGTGAAAGAAGCCAGACACAAAAGGCCATATATTTTATGATCCCATTTATATAAAATTTCCAGAATAAGAAAATTCAGAGAGACATAAGGAATGGAAGGAGGAGCAAATTGAAATTACTAATAGGTACAGAGTTTCTTTTGGGGGAGATAGAAAAGTTCTGAAATTAGTGGTGATGGGTGCACAACATAGCAAATATACTAAAACCCACTGAATTGAACGCCTTAAAAAATGGTGTATTTTATGTTATGTGAATTATATCTCAATTTAAAAAAAAAAGAAATGATGTTGACTGGAACTTTGGTCATAGCATTAGAATTGTAGAAAAGTGAACATTTTAGAGGCAGGGCTGGTGAAAATTGTTGACTGAGCCAGTATGGAAGTGAGGAAGATGATGACTTCTAGATTGCTGGTTTGGTCAAATGCGTGAGCAGTGATGCCATTTACAAAAATGGGGAAAACTGGAGAAAGAATGGATTTTAAGATAGGAAATCAAGAATTCTATTTTGGCCACATTAAGTTTGAGATGCCTATTAGAAATCTAAGAGGACAAATAAGGTAGACAGTATAGTATATGAGTTTGAAACTGAGAGATCAAGGTTGAAGTCATAAATGTAGCAGTCATGTAGGTGGATAAAAACACCGAAGGACAAAATGTTGATGGGAAAAAAGGAGAAGCAGGGGAGGGGAGGAGAGTGGAACAGGGAAGCTAGGCTGTGCCCTGGGCATTTAGAGGTTTAGCTGAAGAGAAAAACTCAACAATGG